AGATCTGAATTGCTGCTGTTTAAACAGCTCCCTAAGCATATACACTCATGAGTGATCAAATCTGATATTCCTTATTATAAAACATGTATTTTTTATAAAAAAGATTTTTCCTTCACTGATATAAATTATTATATGTACATCATGAAAAACACACAGTATAGAAGAGAAGGAAGATGAAGTGATGCATATGTATGTAAAATGATGAAAATAATTTGATGTATTCCATTCTAGGACTTCTATGTATAGCCTTTCTTTTTCTTGGAGGCAGTGGGGCTGATGGAAGGGTATGTAATGAACCATCCAGGTCCTCTGCAATGAGTTGTATCTCCAGCCCTTTTTTATTTTTCGTTTCGAAACAGAGTCTCACTGAATTGCTAAATTGCCCAATTGGGCTTGAATTTGTGATCCTCCTGCCTGAGCCTCCCAGAGTGCTGGGATTACAGGCATGTGACCACCATGACTGGTTCCTTGTTTTTACCTTAATAGGTATTCCTGACAAGAAAATTCCCATTTAATACCATGTGAGAAAAAAAACAAAATCAAAAAAACCCAACAGTCCTTAGTTATCTCTCTGAATGGTTAAATCTTTTGCCAAGTTGATTCAAATACTGTGGCAAAGAGAACTTTTAAAAATTTTTTTCAAAATTTAACGAGAAAACAATGAGTTTTTTAGTAATTAAGAATGGATTCTGCCAAACAGAAACCTTTCCTCAATGCTTAAAAAAAAAAAGGATGCACTCTCAAATCAACTGAATAATATGTCGTTGGCTCCAAGTGCTCAAAGGCTCTAGCAGGGTTTTTTATGACCATCTTGCTGACCATTCTGTGTCAACTACAAAACTAGAGGATTACCTGCCTCAATCTTTAACCAACAATTTGGTTTTATAGATATGCTGATCAAAAAACAGAACAACTTGGTGTGCCCAGGAAGTACTGCGAGGGAGGATTCAAAAATGAAGTGACATTGCTACACAAAGCTGAGTTATGTGCATCCAGACAGGAAGCAGTAGAAAGGCACAGGCTTGGGTTAAACATCTCAACGGAAAAACCCATTTTTTGGTAATGGCAGAATAACAAGCACAGGACTTCCTGCTGTAAGAAACCAGCAACACTAGATAAATTACAAGAAACAATTATTTTCATGTATTGGGAAACATGTAATACAGGGCTGCAGCCCTAAAAGAAGGGAAACAATGAGATGAGACCTATAACCACCCTGGCTTCTGCCTAGAGGCAACTTCCAGACTGTAGGTAGAAGAAGGAAAAAGTAAAAAAAGAGCCAATAGGTAGCCTTGCTGAACTGAAGAGACAGAGCTATGCACTTGGGCAGGGTAAAGTAAGCAGAAGTTCCAGGGCAGATTTCTGAAAAGGAAGACCTATAGTAAAAAGGAGTTCTAGAAATCTGCCTGACGGTGACCTTCAGTCTTTGCCAAGTACTAGGGTATATGTACCAGAGAGTAACACAAGGGTGAAGAAGAAATGGCTGGGAACCACAAGCTAAATTATTCCCAGAGTGTACTGCGCCAGGTTGGGGAAATGTTTGAGCTCCAAACAGCCGTAGGGAACAGTCTTTTCCCTGGTGCATTCAGCAGGGCGTTTAGCAGAGATTTCAAAGGGGATTGGCCCTAACTGGCATCATCCCTAGTAGGAGTGCTATCCTATAGTATCACTTTTCTAGTGAAATTTAAGGAAGGCCTTGAGGGTGATCCAAAAATAATTATTGTCTTCCAAACCAAACCCCAACATGCTTTAAAGAAGTACAATCCCAAAATCCATACACTCAGCAATGTAGCATTTACAATGCTATAGCCAATAAAATTCATTTAAGACATGACATTCCTAACACAAAAACACATACCAAATTATAAGAAATTTTAGTTGTGTAAAAGCTATTAGAAGTGTGTTCATTCGTCTAAAAGATGAACTCAATGAAAAGAAACTTGCAAGCAATGAAACTATCCATACCAAATCTCAAAAAATACCCTGACCTTTCCAATGTGGAATATTGTTCACCTCTGGAATTTCATGCATGCCACTCAGGCTTCCAATGGGACAACCATAAGGCTGTTAGCAGTTAAGGCCAACTGTAAGCCAAATAAATCGTAACTGCTCATTTCCTTAAATTGTTCAGGCTCCAACTCTCGTGGGGTCTTTCCTTCTCATTTGTTTTTACTGCTATCAATAATCCACAAAATGTTTTTAAGGGAACAGATTAACTGAAAAATAATTTTCAGATCTATCTTATTTAGTGACTTAAAGCATCATCTAAAACAGCTGCCATCACCTCACAAATATCTTTTCAGAAGGATATTCTAAGTCACTGGAATGGTTTTTGCTCTCACACACTCTGATGGTCACTGTGAAACAATGACAAGTATAGGTATATTTATGATATACTAGTTTTCAAAGATGATTTTTGAATTTAATTTTTCATTAAACCATTTTCTTAATAATGAAAAACAATTAATGTAGAAATGGGATTGTGACACACATTTCCTGGAATCAAAATAAAAAAGAATGTAGAAGACAACTGAGAACACAAAATCTCTTCAAACATTACAAGTAACTGTTTTAGTACTTCAAAATACCCAAAGTCTCCTATATAGTACTTAACATATATATCAAAAGCATTAAAAGTCTTAGCAGCTAGATCTACTATCTTAATCTCCTCAGAACAAGGACATAAGAGGGAGAAAACCTATAAATCAGTCCCTGATGACAGAGGGTCTGTTTAGGAGTTTACCAAATGGAATGACCCTGTTGGAATTCCTTCAAGAAGCCTGTGAAAATGTCAGAACGGAGTCTGTTTTGGAGGTCAGAGTCCCTAGAGAGCTCTGAGTTTGGGCCTGTTTGTCTTTTCACATGCTTTACTATTTGAAAATCTTTCCTTGTAGACACTGACTGATGCCCAGGGAATGCTAGGATTGTGGGAACTGGCAGTACCCATGAGAGACGAACTTCATGGGAAACCCATGCCTACTACATTGCCCTCTTGAAGCTCATCATATAAGCTACTCTTCAAATGTTATGAAGGTACACAGCAAGACATTAGTAGCTACAAGTCATTTTGACGTCTTCAGAAAGAAATATTTGCAGAAAATGGAGTAAAATTTACTGACTTATTGAAAGAAACACTAAGATGTACAACTTCATGGGCAAAACGTGAAGAATTGTACTCATGTGGTATGAACTGAAATAGTGCATTCTCAAAATATAATACTAAGAACAAATAATTCAAATACTAACTACATGCCCACACTATTCTAAACACTTGGCTGAGATTTACTTACTTAATTGTCATAACAACCTTACGCAGCAGGTACTAATGCGATCCCCAATTTGCAGGTAAGGAAACTGAGGCAAAGAAAAGATGCATATTTGTGTAGGCAGTATATAATGCATACTAAATTGTAACCAGAATCTAAATTAAAAGGTGGCTTCAGACTTGGTACTACTGCGCATGCTGCCTCCTTCACATTGCAAACATGCAATGAAAGTACCATATGCTGAGTGCCTAAGATGTGCCAGGTGTGTGTTGCCTTAATGTCTTAGTTCACTCAATACTCCCAATGGCCTATGAGGTATAACAAACATTCTTTCTATTCATAAATGAGACACAGGCATTAAGTGGCCTAATGCTGCACATCTCTGCAATGGAGCAGCCACTACTGATGTCTGAATTCACAGCCCTCTTTCTTTAAAACGAGGCTCTTCCTATCAGTCATCTATATGAATCATATCTAAATTAATTTGCTATGAATAGTTGAGGGAATTACTCTTTAAAACCATGTGTTCAGGGTTGGGGATTTAGCTCAGTAGTTCCACCGCCTGCCTTGCAAGTGCACGGTCCTGAGTTCAATTTCCCAGTACCAAATAAATAAAACAAAACAAAAACAACCCATGTGTTCAAGAATTTTATGAGACTACATTACAATTTGAACTGCTTACACTATACTAGAGGCTTAATATCTAGAAATTATTTTAACAGACATAGTGATCATTCAACAAATATTTGTTAACAACAATTTTCAAATTTTTCCCCATCTTTGTTATACTAATTCTTTAATATGCTGAGAGAGCTGAATATTCTGAGTGACACAGTTTTTCTTTTATATAATCACTTGACAGTGATTCTTCTTAACTGCTACACTGGATCAAGTCTTCTGTAAGAGAGGGCTTTCTACAGCAATCAATCCTAAGTCTACTGAGTACTGACCATCCTAACACTTGTCAGTCCTTTTTTTGGGGGGGGCGAGGAGTACCAGGGATCGAACTCGAATCCTTGTATTTGCGAGGCAGACAGCAGAACCACCGACCTAAAACCCTGGGCCCTGTCAGTTCTTAAACTTAGCCTCTAAGAACCAAAGGTAAGTGGTAAATCAGATTTACTGCTTTTCTTGTTATGCTTTTATTAAATATAGAAGTCACATACAAAAATTTTAATTTGGTGAAAACATATATTAGCATCTTCTTAAAACAAATAGTATCATAAATGACCAGGAAAATATATAAAAAATTTGGGTTAAAAAAACCCCTAAAATATTATCTTTTAACTGATAGGCTGACACTACTATAAAAATTCTAGTACATATATGCCAACCCTCGAAAATCACAAATAAAGATATATTTTTAAAAATAGACATAATATTTTAAAAATAGCATTAAGTCAATTCCCCTTTCCTTTTAAAGACAGAGGAAAGTGACAAATTAGAGAGTTGGCATGTATGGCTTAGTGATACTGTTGTGAGTGATACACATAAAACAGCAACATGACTAATCTGTGGGAATTTCCATCAATTAATTAAGATGGAAGTTATCATCCATTTTTTTGCTGTTGTTGTTTCTGCTGCCCAGTGGAAGCACAAGGCAAAAGTGATAATGAGAGATAAGAACACATGACATAATGTGGAAGAGCAGCCACAGAAAGACACATGGGCTGGAAGCTACTGTACAGATATTGCAATGGGCATACTATGATACAGAGAGCTTCTCAGACTTACCCACACTCACAGACTGAGTCAGCAGAGGAGGCTGGAGTCCTGACTCCCCAAAGACTATACTTCCTGTTAATAATAGTGAGGGCAGCAGGTGAGGGCAAGAACGCCAACAGTACAGATTAAGTTAAAGGAGCCAGAAAAACAGTGGATATATTTTTGCTCATTAGTATCAGTAATTACTAATTACAAATCCAGAGAGAAAATTTCATTACATTTGTTATTTTAACATATTTGTCTTACTGCTTTCTGTCACAATGGTATTGTATGAGCCAAATAACAATAAAATAAAAATAATCACAGATCACTTTTTTCTGGTATACTCTCCATATTTAACAGGCTCTCTTACAAGTATAATAGAGAATGAGTATTCAGTGTCTAGTTTTTCTTCTTCCCTTTATTTTCCTTTTAGCTAAAAGAGGTCTCTGCAGTAAAATTATGACAGACACAAGTTAAATAAGCTCCCAATTTAATATTACTCTCTCAGTCCAGAAAAGGACTGAGCATAAACTATATAAGTTTAAGCAGCTGAGAGGTCTAAGTAGATAGAAATGGTTTAGTAATATTTATTAACTAATCTTTTACATATAACTGACCGTGCTATCTTTTATAATTGATTTTGCACAGATGGCAAAGACTGCTCCTTAATAAATTTGTTTAGTCAATGACCTGACTGATGTCCATTAAAAATCATATGATGGACTATAACTTTAAGAAAATTATCTCAAATATTCTTTATAAGAGATCATATACTTCTATTATTCTAGTAACTCTAGAAAAGTGTCGTAAAAATTTTAGGTAAGCATAT